AATTGCCTTTATATCAATCTTATTTAATTTTAATCTTGCTACTGCAGGGTTAGTAGGTGGCCTTAAATATGTTTGCCTCAACTCAATTCTCTCAATATGTGTCATTCTCAATTCTCAATGTATTTTGCTACATCTGCTGAAAGAATAAGAAGAAGAAGAATGTAATATTACACTAATCATTTACTTTTGAAGAAAGTAAGAGTAATTATTCAAATTGTTTCCTGACTTTCTGCTAAAATTCTGTATCAGGTGACATCAAGCTGATTGTGCGCACGAACTATAAATTGAGTCAAGCTCGAGAAGCTCGAGTTTAGCTTATTTTATTGAAGATCAATAAGAAATGAGAGCTATATTTATCAAATATATTGTTGTGACTCATATTTCAAGAGCATTTTTAAATATGTCATTGTAATGAAAATCAAATAAGTACTCCATGAGATTGTCCAACCATTCGCCACAATGTTATTCTACTCTAGTAGTGCGTAAAAATTGCTCCAATGTTACGCTATATTTTGCAATACTCTAAATACTATTGTGTTGGGGGTTGTGGCAGTGGTTTGGAGTTTGCGTGGTGGGGGTTGTGGCAGTGGTTTGGCCTGGCGGGTTTGCGAGCTTCGGAGGCAGTCTTTCTAGATCTATGGTTCGTTTGGGCTGTGGATGCTGGAGCTTCTTCTTATTGGTTCGCTTTTCGGTGTTGGCTTGGTCGTGCGGGTGATGGGGCTGTAGTCCGGTGGGGAGGGCTTTTCTATATCTAGTTTTTGTTGTTTTTTGGTTTTATGTTTTGTGTGTTGTTGGTTAGTGTTTTTGTTTCGTGTTGTTTTTGGTCCTCTCGGTTGGGAGCTTCTTTCCTTATGGGAGTTTTTCTGTTCTTTCTTTTCGGTTCTCCCGGTTGGGAGCTTCTCTCCTTGTGGGAGTTTTTCCTTCTCTCCTTGTGGGAGGTTTGTTAGTGTGTTATGTTTGTTTGTGGTTGGTAGGTAGGATTTAGACTACACTATGTGTATCTCTCCCACCTAGATTCAACTAGT